TCTGGGTTTCCTAGAGTGTCACTCTTTACTGGAATAGAGAGCCTCCTAGTACCCCCTCAGAGCGGCTGGTGGTTTCGAACTGCTGACAGACACAACCACAGGGGATCCCCTCCTCCCTGCCCCCCGATTCCCATTTCCATCTTCTCTTGAATTCCTCCTCACACACCTTCAAGTCACACCACCACCCACCCCAGGAATGGGGTCCTGACTGTGGCACTGCTGACGTGAGACTGGTCATCTTACAAATGCTGTCCCTCACCGCTCTCACAGCAGCCTTGTGTGAGCCAGTGTTGCGGCCACCCTCGCTTCTCCACAGATGGGGAAACTGAGGCAGGGAGAGCCAAGTGAAAGGCTAAAGATCACATGGCCAGTAAGCAGCTCATCCAAGATTCCTCCAGTTGATGAACGGTGCTGCTCACCGCTGGCGGAGACAGGATTCCAGGACATTTATGCCTCAAACGCAGTGGTTCCCAACCTGTGGGTCGTGACCCCTTGGGGAGTCGAACGACCCTTTCACAGGAGTCACCCGATTCATAACAGTAGCAAAATGACAGTGATGAAGTGGCAACAAAAATGATGTTATGGTTGGGGGGTCACCACAACATGAGGAACTGTATGAAAGGAAGATGGAGAACCACTGCATTACGTGAATAGGGAGAGAACAGAGCTCAGTACAGTGGCAGTCCAGCATGCACACACCAGCCAGGGCCCAGCCCACTAAGGGGTGCTGCCTCTGGGGGATGCTCCTCCTCTTTTACCCAATGGGAGAGCCTTTCTCTAGCAGGGCAGGGCACAGGAAATGCGGGCTCAGCACCTTCCACACCACACATCAGAGTCAGACATGAAGGTGGAGGTCCCGGCTCCCCTTTAAGCCCCACAAGTAGGTTTGCTTTGAGTCTCAAATACTCCCATGGGGACACCTTTTGTGTTTGTTGTCATCTGATCTGGAAAAACACAGTTGTCTGTGGTGGACTTTGCCGAGACAAAGTTCCAGCCATGAGATGGAACGATGGCTCTGGGTCACACGTGCCAAGTCTCCCTCCTTTGCTGAGCCAGTGGCAGGCATGATTAATCCATCACGGGACTCTAATGAGCCCGGACGAGGGCTCTGCACTTTGCTTAGCCTAGCTCTTCAGGCAGCCACTTTTCACTGGCCAGCTTCCGCCACCCCTGCCCTAAAAGAAGCCTTGGTGGGAAGGTTGGCGCTGGAACCCCAGCCTCTGGGGGCAGGGGATGATGAGGCAGTCTGTTATTATAAAGACGTGCAGTTTCAGAAACCCCAAACCTCAGAAATCCACTAGACAGCAGTATGTGTCTGTGTGTGCTTGTGTCCGTGGGGTCTAAGACTTGGGGGGCAGTTGGGCAAATGCAGGGTGTGGTGTAAGACTTGGGGGGCTGGGCCCTCAAATCCTCTTGTCTGGGCCTCTCCTTCCAGACTTTGTGAAGACCGAGAGGGATGAGCCGTGCGGGTCCAAGATACTGAAGAGCTTCACCAGCCACGACCCCACGAAGCAGCTGGAGCCTACCCTCAGGTAGAGAGCGGGGTGCACTGCGCGGGGCCAGGAGGAGGGAGGGGCATTCAGGGACAGCAGGACGGGAGGACGGAGGAGCAGAGGCCGCCTGCTCTGAGCTCTGTGTGTCTCTGACCACAGGCCCCCCACCTCCCAGGAGGGGCTGTGACCAGGACAAGGCCGGGGAGGCTCCCCTGAGAAACCAAAGCGAGAGAGATGCATCCCCTGCCTTAGGGTCTCCTCACCCAGGGGAGGGAGCAGCCCCCAAAGAGGTGGCCACAGGTACCTCCGGGGAGGCTCAGTGGTCCACAGACCCCACCCTGCTACTTTCGGTTGAGGTCGGAACTGGGGTGAACAGGACTCCTGGCTCATGGGGATCCCATGGGGTGCCTTAGTGGAACTGCCAGAGTTCAAAAGCACCAGCTGCTGGAACTGCTCCATGGCGCTCCCAGTGGTGGTGTCATGGTATAGCAGCGTCAGACTGCCAACCTCAAAGTCATTGTTCAAAAGCACCAGCCGCTGCTCTGAGGGAGAAAGACGAGGCGTTCTATTTCCATAAAGAGTAAACAGAAACCCATGGGCAGTTCTACCCTGCCCTACTCACAGGGCCTCTGTGAGTCGGCCCCAGCTTGATGGCCTTGAGAGAGTAGGGTGAGATGACCAGGCCCCTCTTCCCAGTGGACTCTACCCTCCGAGCAGCTGAGCACGTTGACCATTCACCGCTTTACGGCCCAGCTGGTAGCCTTAGGGGGTAGCAGTCCCCCAGACAGGGTCAGCTGACCCACGAGTGTGAGCTCCAGGTTCAGACTCAAGGAGCCAGCCTGTCGCAGTCACTGTATCTGCTGCTGGGGGGCCAAGGCTACTGGGAACTGGCCACATGGTGGACTTCCTGTGGGCTGGGATCCCGGTCCTCACCTTGCCCCACTCTGCTCCCCAGAACCCCCTCCCCAGCCCACATCCAGCTCCTGTCATCACAGCCATGGTCACTACAGGGTCCCTGTTGCCCATTCTTCCACCTGCCCACTCCCCAGTTCCCCAGCCCTGCCCCGGTCTCCCCTTTCCCCCACCCCACCCTGCCCACCCCGTGGCAGTGTGTATGGTAGGGCTTCTCCCGTACATGCCCTCCCCTAGCCCCCCTTAGCCTCTCTCTCACTTAGACTTCAGCACAAACAGGCCACGCCCCAGCACTGACCCCTCTGTGGCCCCGTGGCTCCTGCGTCTTGGGAATTCCAGAGGATTGTGCACCTTCACAGCCATACACGCACACGCACACCTGCATACGCCTGGTACGGCCTCACGAGGCCGCAGCAGCGAGTCTATTGCACCAACGCAGAGGGAAGGGCTCTGGGTGTGACTGTGTGTCCCCTGCAGGGTCCCCCTGTGCAGTGGCGCCGGCATGACCGAGATTCTCAACCCCAACTACATGGGCCTGGGACCCCTGGGTCCCCCGACGGCCCAGCACGGCAAGCAGGCCCCGTCCCCTGACCATCAGCCCACCGCCTGGAGCTACGACCCACTGTCCAAGGACGCCTCCCTCGGGCCTGGAAGGGGGGACAGTCCTTCGACGCCACCCTCCCAGCCTCCTGTTTCACCCAAGAAGTTCTCACCCTCGCCAGCGGTCTGGGGCCCCTGCCCCAGGACACAGGAGGCCTGGTGAGTCCTCACCCCGGGCACCCCGAGGGCTGCTGGGTTTTTACCACCAGGGATGCTCGTGCCTCTGAGGAGGGCAGCTGCCTGCAGGCCAGGAGGGGCGTCCGACTGCTCTCTGGAGCTGCCAGCAACCCCACCCCCTCCTGCTTGACCCTTTGGGGTGAGCTTGGGAATCACAAAAGTGTCTGCCTTGGGAGGCAGCTCCTCCTCCTCTGCCCCCCACCCCCATCTCTCAGGCGAGTCCTCCTCACCCTTCAGCCACTGAAAGGGAGGGGGGTGGATGGGCGTGGGTGTCTTGCATTCCGCCCCCTCCTCTCCCTCTTGCTCCACGTCCTCTGAAACCCTGTGATCACTGCTGCTTCTGCCCTCAGGCACCCTCTTCCCCGGGCTAACTCATAACTGTGAGACCTGGATGGAGGTAGACGGGGCCTGATGTGGAGGGACAGCTTTCCAAAGTCATCCCTTCTGACTCCATCGCGTCTAGCTACTCAATGGCTTCCCAACCCCTCCCGGAAACACTGAGCAAGAGACTTGCCACTACAGCCAAGCCCCCTGGGCCTGCCACCCCACCTGATCTCTGCCCCCTGGCTCTGCGTGAGCCTGACGCCTCCTCTCTCTCCGTCCCCTGAGAGTCTGCTGGACTGGGCCGCCCAGCAGCCTTGGACCACCAGCTCAACAGCTCAGTGGGTTCCCTGGGACCCACCCGAGTTTGCCTCACAGCAGTTTGCAAACCATGAGATCCCCTAACTCTGACAGTGCAGGGTGACATTGTGTGTGTGTGTGTGTGTGTGTGTCTGCGCATCAGGAATCCCATCACCACTTTCTACTACCAAAACGCTTGCCGCCACCTTAGACCAATTCTGTACCCACTCAGCGCGCTCTCCCCGGTAGGTTTCCATCCTCGTGCACCTGCCCGTTCCAGGCGTTGCCGCCGAGGGGAGCGTGTGGCGTCTGTCTTTTGTGTCTGGTTCTGTTCACGTTCTCAGGTCCATCGGGCCGTGCAGTAGCATGACTTCACTCCTCTCTCTGCCTAGGTAACAATGGACACTGGGGGCTTTTAGCTTGGGGAAAAGGAAGGAAGGAAGGAAGGAAGGAAGGAAGGAAGGAAGGAAGGCAGGCGCTGGAAACACAGGGCATCCAGGGCAGATAACCCCCTCAGGTAGCGATGTCAGGAGGGTAAGGGGAAGGTGAGGGAGAAAGGGGGAACTGATCACAAGGATCTACAAAAAGTGGGTGAAGGGAGACATCGGACAGTGTAAGGCATGGAAAAAATAATAACAATTTATAAATTATCAAATATTCATGAGGGAGGGCAAAAATGAGGAGCTGATACCAAGGGCTCAAGTAAAAAACAAATGTTTTGAGAATGATAATGGCAACAAATGTACACATGTGCTTGACACATGGATGGATGGATTGTGAAAAGAGTTGTACGAGCCCCCAATAAAATGATTAGAAAAGAAAAGAAACAAGAAAACATGCCATCACCACCAGGAGATGGTTCGTACCCTCATCAGTGAGCCAGAGCCTCGCAATGGCTGAGGGGGGCTCAGGGCCGGGGAGCAGGACGTTCAGTGGCACACGTGTCCTCATTGTGAGTTGGGGCCAGCTCCATGGCACGGAGGACTAACCACTACCTCCGGTCCTTGTTGAGTGTCCAACTTGGATCAACCAAACCCGACTCCCTGCCATCAAGCCCACACTGACTCATTGCAGGCGCTCGACAGGACAGAGCAGAATGGCTCCTATGGGTTTCTGAGACTCTCACTATTAATCGGAGCAGAGAGCCCCGCCTCTCTCCCGAAGAGCGGCTGGTGGTTTCAAACTGCTGACCTTGCAGGTTGTGGTCCAACGTGTAACCACGGAGCCACCAGGACTGTGCTCAGTAGCCGGGAGTGGATTTGGGACAAGCACCACAAACCCACTTCTGTGTCTGGTGGCGCCGTGGCTAAGACTCAGCAGTTCACTGGGAGGTCGGCAGTTCCAACCCACCAGCCACCCCGCAGGAGAAACACGGGCCGTCTGCTTCTGCAAAGACGGCGGCCTGGGACACCCTCCGGGGCAGCCCTGCTCCGTCCTGTAGGGTCAGTACAGACCAGAATTGGCTCAGCCGCACTGGGTTTGTAGTGGTCGGCCCCCCAGGCTTCAGGCTGTGGTGTGAAGTGTTCTACGGATGAAAAGGCCCCAGGCAAGGACAGCGGTGTCCCACAAGGGCACTAGCAGGCACACAGCGTCTTGCTTCCTAACAGTGCCTCCCCCGGGACTCTAGGCCCAGCGACCTGGGGAAGAGCCCAGCGGAGTGCCAAGAGAACCTGCCACTGACCAAGCCGGAGATGTTCGAGAACCCGCTGTATGGGTCCGTGAGCGCCTTCCCGAAGCTGGCCCCCAGGAAGGAGCAGGAATCCCCCAAGTCGCTGAGGAAGGAGCCTGGCCCAGACCCTGCCTCACCCGCCATCTTGCTCACCAAAGCCCAGGAGACCGAGAACACCAAGGGGTCCAGCAAACAGGCCCCTGTGCCCCGGCTCCGCTCCTTCACCTGCTCATCTTCGGCTGCAGAGGGCCGACCGCCGGCCGGAGGGGAAAAGAACCCAGGCAAGCCCAAGCCCCCAGCCAGCACCCCGGTGCCCGTGGCCTTGCCCGTACCGGCCAAGAGGCCCGTGAAGCCGTCCCGCTCTGAGATGAGCCAGCAGGCCCTGCCCGGGCAGCACCGGCCACCCCTGCCCGTCAAGAGCCCGGCCGTGCTGCACCTGCAGCATGCCAAGGGCCGCGACTACCGTGACAACAGCGAGCTCCCGCACCATGGCAAGCACCGGCACGAGGAGGGTGCGCTTGGCAGGACCGCCATGCAGGTAGGCG